ATAAGTGGACTTCAAAAAATTTGTGGAAGAATGGAATTAAAGTACAAGCTTATTTTGGTGCAAAAAAATTGAAGGTCATGCCTAGATTTTTTTCATAATAGAAATTTCCCATCACTTCTTTGAATCGCCTCAAATTTCTCCAATTGGATTTTAAACTCATTAGGAACAGCAACACTGTAAAATACGAGTGGAACAATGAAGATACTATAGGATTCAAGAAATATCTGTTAAAAATTCCCTGATTTTTGTACACTTTTGGTGGGAAATCATAGGATTTTAAAGTATTCATGTCTTCATGAAAAGTTTTTTATGAAACTAAAATTTGTTTGCTTTGCTCTGAAAAGGACAAACTGCTTTTTGATTCTTCTATTAAAGCAATACTATATTTGTGAGGTTTTGAATCTATAGTTAGAAACTGGGGGAGGGACCAGCAGTTAGCATAATGGTTATGTCACTAAACTCCCATGTAGTCGACCACGGCTCAAGTCCTGGACCTGGTGGCTTACACTCACGCTGGGCACGTGTGTGCACGTGCCCAAGATCTTGAGAGGAGAATGGAGGAGAAGGGATTGTGGTGTGACCATTCCCCCCAGGGGGTGATTTCTCGCTTTTGGTCTCTCTGTCTCTCTCTGTCTTTCTGGCGAGTGCATGCGCCCTATAGCAAAAACCTCTCAAAAAAAAAAAAAAAAAAAAAGAAAAAGAAAAAGAAAAAAGAAACTGGGGGAGAAAAAGGAGGCCAGTTAAGACTACATAGAAGGGGTGTATTTAAATGTGCTGGTGAGAAAGGAGGCTGGATGTTTGACCACTTTCTATAGTCATGGAGCTCAACAAAGTTTGCCATTTGTATAGGAATCTCTTAGCTCTTGGATGGAAACATCTCTTTCCTGTAAAACTTCATGGAATTTTTGCTTCTGGCAGGGGCAACAGTTATTCATTGTGCATCTTGAAAATTTGTGACATAGTTGTCCAAATGGGCATCAAATAAAGTAAGAAACGAAAAGTCTCAACTACATATTTTAAATTTATTTTTGGTTCCAGGTGATGAACTGGGCAGGCTGTAACTGGCACTGACAAGACTAACCCTTTACTCAGACCCAGGGGATCATCTTTGATCTGAAAACCTTGTCCTTCAAACCAGCTGCCCAAGAAACAAATGCAAGTCCAAGACCTTACTTCATATTCTGGATGACTACACACTCCACCTCCAGGTCTGTTTTGTCCAGTGACAGTTGCAGTCTTTAACTTGAGCTTCTGTGTAGGACTCGGTGGGATTTATATTTGAATATAAATCCCTTTCCCTGGATGATTTTAGCCATCTTATCTACCCCCTTTCAATCATTTGGCCTGGTTGTTCAACAAATAGGAATCCCAGGGATGCACCTTGTTTTAAAAGAGCCCCTTTGTTGTAACAGTACTCTTGGTCAAGCAGCCAACTCTCTTCTCTAGGAAAAACCTCCAATTAATTAAAAGATTCTGAAACAGTGAGCATTTACTGAGCACTTACATGCTGCTAGGGATTCTGCCCAAGCACTTCATGTATATCAGTTCACTTAATGTTCACTATATTGCTAAGAGATGTACTGTTATCATCTTAATTTTAGTGATTAGAAAACTGAAGTACAAAGGGGCTAAATAATCTGGTCAAGCTCACACAGCTAGTAAATAACAAAACTGATATTTTGACTTTCTCCTTCCTTCCTAAATCTTTTTTTTTTGGAGAGTTTTTTTTATTTATTTTTTTTGCTATAGGGCGCGTGCGCTCGCCAGACAGAGAGACAGAAAGCGAGAAATCACCCTCCAGGGGGGATGGCCATGCCACAATCCCTTCTCCTCCGTTCTCCTCTTGGGATCTTGGGCACGCACGCACATGCGCCCAGCGTGAGTTTAAGCTAGGTCCGGGACACAAACCACGATCGACTACGTGGGAGTCCAGCAACATAGCCATTACGCTAACTGCTGGTCCCATTCCTTACTAAATCTTGTCCTTTTGCAGTCTTCTTCCTATTTGTCAGCTGATGGCAGTTCTATCAGTCAGTGAATTAGGCCAAAACCCATGGAGCCATCTTGATTCCTCTCTTCTCAAGTCCCATCCATATTCAATGCTTTTAGAAAGTCATTACTCTACTTTAAAAATTTATTTGACTCTGACTACTTCTCTCCAACTCCATTATCCTCTCCAGATTGAAGCCACCACCATCTTTTGCCTGAAATATTGCCGTAACTCTCCTAGTTAGTGCTGACACTGCTTCCATCCTTGTTTCCTTGTCTACCCACAGGCTGTCCCAGCGGCCAGAGTAATCTTGCAAATGTGAGATCATATTGCTCCTCTGCTTAAATGTCAAAGTCTTTACAAGACTTTTTACTCTCCACCCCTGGATCCCTTACTGGATGCTCCACTCCTTGCTCATTCTCTTCCAGAGAGGCCCATAGAGGACTGCATATCTTCTTGCTCTTCCTTCAATACCAGGTGTCTCTGGCCTCAGTGCCTTAGCACTAGGGTTTTAAGTTTGCAATATTCCACCTTCCTCCACTTTCCTACCACCTTCTTAGTGTATCCACTACTCTACTTATGAATCTATTTACCCAAAATAGTACCAAACCCTCTTACTTTGTTTTTGCTGTTTTTTTTTAATAGCATGTATTACTTTTTATGGTAGTATATGACTTATTTGTTATGTTAGTTGTTAATTATCTCACTCTCCCATCCGAAACAGAGATTTGTATCTGTTATAGTCTCTGCTGTATCCCAAACACATAGAATATTGTAACAATAAATGCTCATTGAATAAATGAATGAATGAACTGGAGCTCAAGTATTAGGGTGATTATGATTTTGTTATAAACTAATACAGCATCATCAAGTAAAAAGCAAATAATACAGAATCTATCATGAAGTGGTCTTGATCAACAGTCAATTAAATAGATAGTGGCAAAAGGAGATATAAGTGGAGGTCATAGAGAGCAGTGGGAGATACAGTGAGGTTTTACTTGGAGTTCTTTAATGTTGCGGTTAATTGGTAAGGACACACTTCTTTACCTAGAGGTCCAGGATTTAAATTTGTAGCCCTGTGTTTGCTATACTACAGATTTGATCCTGAGATGTTTATCCTTCCTACTTCCTCTACTGGTTCCCTGTAGTATGGTCAGACATAATGAGAAATACAGATCTAAATTGTTGGATCACTCAAAAGCTGTGAGGAATCTGGAACAAAGTTATTGGATTTGGGGTATTTTAATCATTTCCTGCAGGTTGGCAGTTTTCAAAAGAATCAGGCAAATTACACTTGAGTAAATTTCATTGCTTCTCCACATAGTTTTCAAATTTGGTGGTGTTGTATTCAAGCCTCCAGATCTGAGGGTCGACCAGATGTCTGAGACATGGACATTTCTAGGTAGTAACACTTTTTGTTATAATTTTAGCCCCTTATTCTGGTCAAGTAAAACTTTTACATCATCTGTAACTATTACACTGGCTTATCTTGCTTTTGAGATCATTGGTTTGCTCCTAACACAGGATGAAAATTGGTTGTAGGAGGACTTCAGTTGTCTATCATGAGACATGACTTCCTGTTCTTTTATGAGATAACTCAGTTTTAACTCATCTGGCTTCAGTGTACACCTGCTACGTCTTGTTCACCTGTGACAGTGTTAAAGACACAACTCCAATTACTAGGGGATCCTACTAATCCATTTCCCAAAGGTCAGCCTGAAAGTGCCATACTAACTACCTTAGTTGACCATCTGTCCAAACATTAGTTTCTACAATGATCTAATGGAGAAAGTGCATGCCATTAAAGAAATGGAATATCCAGACAAAGGTTATTTTGGAAATGCTCCTATTCGGGACTGATGATTTTATAGGAGCTAACTAAGCAGTGCTTGCCTTCTGACAGGCTAAATTCTGGGACACTGGCAATGGGTGGCAGCAATTACAAAGTTTGAAGAGTTCCCAGTCTCAGCTCCACACTACAACCTCCCAAAGAGGCCCTGAAGCCACCAAAGCTAGGGCCCATGCAAGAGATTTTAGTTTTATCAGTCTGGCTTTAGGTGAGGGCATCAATCTTTTGAAAAAGCTCTCCAGGAGATTTTATGTGTAGCCATAAATGGAAACTACCAGATATTAAAGATCCAGAAATGGGATATCTGAGTAGATAATATAACCTCTACCCCTGCCTTACAATCCCCTTTGCAAGGGCCCCTTCCCTTCTTTCTCTCCTGCTTTGTCAATTTTCCATTTTCTTCTGGGCAATTTCCACAATCATATAAACAAGCTGCATCTCTCCCATCCTAAATAAAAGGCTCTCTGTAAACTCTACATCTTCCTCTAGCCAATGCCCTTTTTCTGATTCCTTTTAGAGAAAAATTTCCAAAGATGTGCTACCTATGTATGCTATCCAATTATTTTCTGTCCAATATCTCTTTTAAAAATTTATTTATCTATTCACTCATTCATTTATTTATTTGATAAGAGACAGAGAGAAAAGGAGAAAAGGAGAAAGATAGACTCTCATGCCATGATCCTTCCAGCCTTTCCCAGTCAGTTAGGATCACCAGCACATGCATGACCTGCATGTACTGAACTTCAATCTTCCATATGACTTCCAGCATTGTAGAACATTGTGCTACCACCTCTGTCACTGTGGCCGAGCCTCCATTCTCTCCCAAACCCTCTCTATCCAGGCATCTGCCCTCACTACAAAACAAACATAGCACATCTTGCCAGCTAGTCAGGCCACTGAGTTCAGGTCTCCCCCTCAAGAACAGAAATAGAGAACTTAGAGAATCCAACATGGACATTATGATAACACTCTGGGATATAGCACATGCCTGATCCAGCTCATAGTTGGCCTACCAGTGCCAGGATCAAAGCTCAGTAAACAGAACAAAGAGCAAGAAAACTTTTCAGGTATACCTTTGGAGAGGATTGGGGTGCTAAAGTAATGTTGCTTCTTCAAATAATAAAAATGAGGTCTTTAGCAAAGAGAAAGGTTTTGACTTACACAGTGTGTGGTAGTGATGATTACAGAACTGGAGATGAAGGAGAGACCATCGTTCATGCTGACCTGGAGTGCAGCTTTCCTGCAATGTCAACAAGAGAACAAATATTCAGCTCAGTGTGCAATGAACAGAGGGCTGAGAGCCAGCACACAGCTTTCCTCTGGACTCTGCTCTTAACTACCCTTGGGATTGTAGCCTCTTCTCTGGGGGGGATGAGTTTTCTTCTTTGTAAAATGTGGAGAAGGCTCTCTTTGCCCCCTCTATCTCTAACATTCTCAAGAGATGGCAGGCTAGGCATAGCCAGTGTATCAAGGCAGTACATTCAAAACTTCTTGTATCAATGCAAATATTGAATGGGCAAAGTCTGCTTTCCTTTAATTCCCTTGTCACATTATAACAGGACAAAGCAGTCTTTAAAAATGGTCCAAGTCAATGGGGATAAACTGGGCAAACTATAAACTTGATGTCCTGCTGTCCTTATTGGGATTCCCAGTGATATGGTTTTGTTTATCCAGCAGACTCACAGAGGTAAAGCAGTTGATGAACTAACTGGCCTTCCATCTCCTACCATCCAAAAGACACTAGGTAAAGTATGAGCTTATGTGTTGTTGCATTTTGCAGCATAGATATTGGGCTCATTTGTGAAATCAGTGATCTCACAGGCTAATGTTACACAACCAGAGCTGGAAGTCTTACAATATGAATGAATGATTGAAAGGAGAATTTGGATGAATAATTGTAACATTTTTTTCCTTGAATGTGCTGTTCTATCTCTAGCCTGTTACAGGCACAATTTTGGAGAGGCTGTTTTTTTATTCTGTGTACCGACACTACATCTTTCCCCAGTTTTTTTCTCCCCCCTTGCTCAGGATGTTTTCTTCTGTTGAATATTTTGAACACATCATTATTATAATTGCACCCATGATATTTCCCCCATAAATGAGTTTGGGGAACTGGGTCAGGTCTAGTTGATCTCATAATGCTCTGTAGGGAAGTAGAAGGATCACTGAAGTGCCTTCAGGAGGTCCCACTTAGTTTCTCTGAGCCTCCTTTCTGAGTTTCCTTACCTCTAAGGAGCAGGTAACAGTCATCAATTAGGACATTTATGATGATAAGGTGAGGTAACATGTGTGAGACCTTCTAGAAATATAGTTGTGATTAGGCCAGACAGACCTTGGGTTGAGCCCAGACTGTTCCATTTACTGCTGCCAAGAAATTTATTTTCTCAGTCATAGTCTTTACATATGTAAAGCTGGTACAATGTGAACATCTGGTTCCTGGGGAACTTGAGGGGATTGAAGTTATATACTCTGTAAAGTACTTACCCTGATGCCTGTATGTATTGGTACCATTGTTACCTGCAGGAATCTAGAGACAGGCTCCATCATGACAATGGAGGAAGATATTTTCTTTATCCTTTGCCCCCACTACCTCCTCTCTCCTCCCTGGCTAGTGAGGTTCAGTTGTTGGTGAAAACTTACATGCCGAGGGAACCAGCAGTAGTGTAATGGCTATGTCACTGGACATAGTCGACCGCGGTTTGCGTCCCGGACCTGGTGGCTTGAAACTCACGCCACGTGCACGTGCGTGCGTGCCCAAGATCCCGGGAGGAGAATGGAGAAGGGATTGCGGCATGGCCATCCCCTGTGGGGGGGTGATTTCTCGCTTTTTGTCTCTATGTCTCTCTCTGTCTGTCTGGCGAGCGCACGCGCCCTATAGTGAACAAAACCTCTCCAAAACAAACAAACAAAAACTTACATGCCGACTTCCTTTAAAATGGGCGCTGGGCACAGCAAATAAGTATCTTCCACAGCGAAGGGCTTCTCATCTGTAAAAAGGATTTGACACTGGATTAAGAGGAGTAAGGCAGGTTTATAATTTCAAATTCACTGACTTCTATAGACCATCAACCAAATTTAGGGAGACACCAGAAAAACAAGGAGACAAAGAACTTTTCTGAAACAAAAACAACTCTTGAGCTGTAAAATCCATCAATGAACCCAAGGGCTCTTGCCTGAATGCTAGTCTCCAGACCCCTTATGTCCAGATAGTTATTTAATGAGTAAATAGAGATCAAACTTCTATAATAGAGCAGGAATAACTAAGGGGAAACAAATTATTAGAGTGGTCCTAAGGAGTTTCATGTCTAAGTCTAGTTTGAGAGAGACACCATATTTATGGAAAATATCCACTGGCAAATCCAAGAAGGACTTAAACTAAAATATCATTGAGCTTCAGAAGATAGAGAGGATAGGGAGCTTCTTTTACATGAGCGATATGGTTTGGTCACAGAAAAATACAAAGCACAAACTAGGCTTTGGCAGAGAAGTGGGAAAGAGGCATTCCTGGTGGGAGGGATGACACAAACAAAGACAGGAAAGAGAAAAGGTATGTTTCAGGGTAGGATGGAAGTAGGATTTGAACAGATCAGTATAAAAAGAAGTTTGGTCCAAGTTCTCTGAACTAGACTGAAGAATTGGATATAATCTTATAAGCCATGCAAAGACTTTTGGAGGGCTTTTTAGTAAAACTGAAGATGATTTTTGGAGGTTTTAGCAGATGTAGCTATGAAAGATGGATTAAAGTGGGGGAACTCTCCAGGGAAAATTTATTTGAATGGATGACCAAGAAAAAGCTTAAGTGGCTTTAATCTCAAGCTCCTTACTGTGAAGTTATGATACTTAGTATATAATGGTTATTTCTTCATGTCTCAACATTCTTTTAGATTTATACATGGCACAGAAGACTGGTAGGATCTGTAGGTGAAAGAAAGAGGAGTAATAGTTCTCCCTTTAATCAAGTTGTGACTACAGATACCTAAAGTAGAAGATACGAAGGAATACATATATTATTGAAGAACTAAATTCTGCTACTGGTCTTGCTTATAAAACTGGTTATCTCTTATGACATTTGTTAAGTCATGCCTGCACAATACAGCTGACACTAAAAGCTTGCTGAAGAGATCTGTAGGAAGTCTGTGCTCTCCATGTGTGGGTCTGTGGAGCAAAGCCACCTGGATGGGAGGTAGAGGACACAGCTGAATGCTAAGCACTGTGTTCCCCTTGGAAGGTAAAAGAAAAGGATGTTGTCCAGGGTAATCTTCAGGGAGTGAAAAGTTAGGGACATTTTTCCAAGTTATTTGTTCATTCATTCAACAGATATTTATTAAATACATACTATATGCTAGATAGGCAGGCTCTGAAATGAGATACAGAGTTCCTGCTTTCATAGACTTTATAGGAGCTGCCAGAGAGTTAATCAATACGTTCACTTTTATTGGAAAATATCTTGAGTATTTACCATGTGCTGAGCACCATGCTGGTGCTTGCAATGAATAAAACAGAGGAAACACATTATCTGAAGAGCAGACATGCTACAAATTACACAAATTATTATTTAATTATAATTGTGATGAGGACACAGAAGAAGGAGCAGGAACAACACTCATCTAGGAGGTCAGGTAATGCTTTTCCGAGGGATGACTTGTAAAGCTGAAACCTAAAAGTTGGGTGATGAGGCAGTAGGTGGGAAAGCAAGCAACGCTGCAAAGATCCTGGGACAAGAAAGGGCCTAGATCTTTTGAGAGCTAAAAGAAGGTCAGTGAGTTTGTTAAATTTGAGTGAGACGAAAAGTGGCACAAAATAAGGCTAGTAAGGGCAGCAGGGTCAATGCCCAAAGCTGTGTAGGCCACACCGGGGCATTTGAGATTCTTTTCTAAAAGCAACAGGAAGCTACTGGAGGTCCTATCCCCACCACATTTAGAGTTAGCCACTAGCAGATTATAGAACACTGCAGGAATGGGAGAGGGTGTTTTGAGCAAAATTATGAAGCTTATGATGACAGTGAATGATCATGCAGTGCCTGAACTGAGCATTATTATTTTCAAGATGTTTTCCGATGGGACCAGCAGTTAGTGTAATGGCTATGTCACTGGACTCCCATGTAGTTGACTGTGGTTCGAGTCCTGGACCTGGTGACTTAAACTCATGCCAGGCGTGTGTGCATGCGTGCCCAAGATCTCGAGAGGAGAATAGAGGAGAAGGGATTGCAGCGTGGCCATACCCCTGGGGGGTGATTTCTCGCTTTCTGTCTCTCTGTCTCTCTCTGTCTGTCTGGCAAGTGCATGTGCCCTATAGCAAAAAACCTCTCAAAAAAAAAAAAAGATGTTTTCTCATCTAGGTTGAGAATAGAAAACCAAATTCACCAGGTAAATGCTGTGTGTAGGTGTTCTTTAATTCATGTCTATCACTTTACCCAGTTCAACCTTCTAGCACAGCTGTCAGGAAGGATATTACTAGTTTCATTTTCCTAAAAGAATATTAACTTTCCTCCTTTTTTTTCCCCTTAAGGATTTTGACATAGGGTGTTTGTACTTGTCAGAGAGAGAGAGACAGTGAGAGGGAAAGTGAGAAATCACTCCCAGGGTGGATGGTCACATAACAGTCCCTTTTCTTCCATTATCCTCCTGGGATTTTGGGGCAAGCATACACATGTGCCTGGCATGATTTTCAAGCTGCCAGGTACAGGACTTGAACAGCAGTCAGCCATGAGAGTCCAGTGCTCTAACCATCATGCCACTGACTTACCCCTGCTTTTCTCCTTTTTTTAAGTGTTTATTTATTTGTTTCTTTCATGAGAGAGATACAGAGAGAAAAACTTAGAGATAGGCAACTCCAATAGGGTCTTCAAGCCACTATCCACCCCTAACCTCATTCAGACAGATCACAGACACGTGTACAAGAAGGCCTTGGAATATGAACTTGGAACCTTCCTACAAAGGGTTGACTATGGCAGAGCATTGCTTTACTGCTGTGTCACCATCTGGTCTGACTCATTTCATCATAAAGGCAAGGAATAGCCACAGACAGATTATGTAACATGCCCAGTGTTACATGGGAACTTGAAGCTGCACCCAGGCAGTCTGGCTGCAGAGTCTGTAGGTTTTTCCAATAGGCTGTACGATTATGATTGCCCTGATAACAGCATTGCTGTTTCCTTCTCATGACCACTTTGTCAATAGAGCAGGAATCATTAGGCTAATTTTTTTTTTTTACATGCAAAATGGAGACTCAGAGTGCAGAGGCAGTGTAGTGCTCAACAGCAGCTGGATCCCACATGGTGGCTGTGGTCCCTGGACCTGTTGTCCTGAAGCATGTTGAGCATTTTCACAAGTGCCTGAGATCTGATGGGCTGCAGGATTGAAAGAAGTGGGTCACGCCCTGTGGAGGGTGCTCTTCTCTTTTTGTGTATGCTTTATCATGAAGAGAGGGGGAATAAAGTGAAGGGAGAAAGAGAAAAGAAAGAGAGGCAACAGTGATCCATGCATACACAGCAAGTCAGAGACAAACTACGATAGTACTAAATTCTGCCTTATTCATTCCTAAGAGACTCTCCAGTCCAGACAAGGCTTATATTAGAGAATAAACTGACCCTGGATAGGCTTGCTGACTGGGGCCTACATTTATGTTCCTTGTTACCATGGCTTATCCCACTGCACACAGACTAGCCATACCTGGCAGTGCAGCTCCCTGGCTTATCTTGTTGCACACAGACTAGCCATACCTGGGAGTACAGCTCTCTGCCCACAGGGCCAGCCTACAGAGCCTCAGGGCAGCCACAGAGCGGCCACAGGAGGCCTTGTAACTCCTGGCTGCATAATGTGGGAAGAGCTGGGTCACTGAGGAGGACGCCTGAGGCAGCACAGTACAGCAACAGGGCGGGGAGCTCCAGGAGCCAGCATGCCCACGTCCTGCGTTGGCGCCTGGCCTCACTTACGACTTCCTCTGCTCTACTCGTCTCCCCTTCCGTCCGTCCAAACTGGAAGGTGGAGAGAGACATAGTGGAGGAAACATTGCTCGTTTTCCTCCTCTTTTTATTTTCCTCTCCTGCTTGGGAGTCCCACTATTTCTGGAGCAAGGAAAAAAAAAAAAACTTGGTGGGAGGACTGAAGTTTGCCGAGGCCGTAGGCAGCCTTGGCGCTGCCTCCCAGCAGTTTATCAGCTTGCGAGGCGGCCTGCTCCGTGTAGCTGGCAATCTCTGCTCTGAGAGGGATTGTTTGGTTTGGAGCCTGTGTTCGCTTTACCACAAAAATGAGTAACTTTTCTCTCTCTCTCCCTCTAAACAAAGGAGGGCCATTTGGTTTCCATAACTCAGATCATCTGACTCCTTCCTGGAACGTCCACTTGGAGAGTGAGGGCACGAAGTCTTCCTCCTTGCTTCTCGGCTGTCCACATTTTGCTCTTGAGCTGTGCCAGCTTTCTGCAACTTCTGCCAATGACGGTGTTGTGACGTTTACGGAGGTAATCCACTCCAAGGACAGCCGAGGCCCCTGTTGGGCTGCCCACTACATGTCCATTTCACTGCTCATTAGCATGAGTGGGTAGGGGAAGTGAAGGCCAGGAGCACAGACCAGCCTGCTTGGCTTTTGTTTGCAAGTTGGGGGAGAAAATTAGGGTGGGGCAGAGTCTGAAACCAGAAGTTACATGGAATTTTTAGATCTTGAAATATAAATTTCCTTGCCCATTATAGAGAGATATTTCAGGATTCTGTGCACACACAGGACATAGGTTAGCCTTAAGTATTGTCTATAGGTGTCTGAAAATTGAACAGAAGCTTGGTTTAAATCAGGATTTGAGGATGAGTGTCATGTCAAACTGCTGAATTCCCCAGACTCAGAAGATAGGCATCTGTGAAGCTGAGTACAAAGGGTACAGACAGAGGCAAGGTAGACATCAGAGTCAAACAGAGCCAGGTTCACATTCTAGGTCTTTCTCTTACTGCTGTGACTTTATAAATGGTGATGACATAATTGCTCAGAGTTGTGTGGGG